AGACCTTAACATCATGATAAATTTCCTTGAAGATAATATCACAGTTACAATAATTGTCACTAGGTTTATGAGCATTTGTTTCGCCCTAAATTGTTCTCTTGGACACGGTGAATAAGATTGTGAGAAAAAGTGTAAGAAACCCTACGTCCATGGCGGTTTGTTACATATATAGCATATATGTGGCAAGATTTTTTTTCACTCAAAATTGACACACAAAATATACGGAGACCGTCAGGCTATTTTTAAGCAAAACCATCATTGACATAGCATGTCCGAGGCGGGGGCAACACACTGTAGCAATTCGCCTATAGGTATTTTTATTTCATGTAAAATATTTTTTTGATATTTTTCGTAGATTCGTCTATTTTTTATGAACACACGTCTAAAATTTCAAATGATTTGGATTTGTAGAAAAAAAAAATAAATTCAAACAATATCGAACATCCGTAATCGTCATATCGAAATTTGGGCCGTTGGGCTCATATGTTCATATGAGCTGGTGGGCTAACCCCAGCTTTTTTATTATTTATATATATATATATATATATATATATATGGGTTTTTCTTGAGTTAGCAAACCCTCAAAATACAATGGTTCTAGTTAGAAAGGGTTGTAATGAGTGTATTTATCAAAACAATCATTACTTTTTTATTAAAAAATTATTTAAATAGGTAACTTTACCATCAAGCAAAGACAAATTTGATATTTTCATAAAAGTACAATGGTATTTTGGAAGTTAGTATCCTAAAAATTTATTTGTAGAGTGTCATTGTCATTTAGTTAAAATTTCAACTTTATCCTTTATATAGATGACAAAAGTACCTTTTGACTTGTATTAATATTTATAAAATTACCCCTTATAAAAGTAACTTTTTTTAAAAAAATAGACTACAAAATTAATAAATCCATCATTAACAACTCTCTCTATCTTGAACCTTTGTAATTTGATGAAGTTTAGATTATCCCTATGGGATTTTCTAGAGTTAACAACCCCTCAAATTACATAGGTTCAAGTTAGAGACCCTTGTGAACCATATTTTTACTTTTATTGCCCCTATATGACTTGAAGACCAATAGATATAGAAGGCCATTTTGGATTTTTTATTTGAAATTTAAAGCTGATCTCTTTCACACCTTTATATTCTTTTTTCTCTTTTTGTTATCCCCCATTCTCTCTCTCTTTATCTCTCTCCTTTCCCTCCCCCATCCGCGCTCTCTTTTGACCGGAAATCTCTGATATGGGATCAAGAGAGAGAAATAATAAGAAGGGAGATTGCAAGGAGAGAGAAATAATAAGAAGGGGGACAACAAGGAGAGAAATAAAGAGGAAGAGAATGGGGACAACAAGGAGAGAGATAAAGATAGACAGAGGATGGGGATAATAAGGAGAGAGAAAGAGAGAGAGGATGGAGACAACAAAGAGAGAGAAAGAATAGGAATGTGTGTGTGTGAGAGAGAGAGAAGAGTTTTAAATTTCAAAATTCAAAATTTTTCAAGTTTGGAAATAAAAAGTCTAAAATGCCTTTCTGTATCATTTGGTTTTCAAGTAATATAGGGGCAGTAAAAGTAAAAATACGGTTCACAAGGGTCTCTAACTTGAACCTATGTAATTTGGAGGGTTGTTAATGCTAGAAAATCCCATATATATATATGTATACACTACAAAACACCTATAGGCGAAAATGAATAGTGATTTCGCTTACCCTCTTCACTGTCCAAAGTTCATTGCACGGTCACGATTGTCTGGTAATGTTTCATTTTCCATGTTTTTTCTACAAATCGGGATGACCTAAAATTTGGAACGCGTGTTCATAAAAAATAAGCAAATCTATCAAAAAAATATTTTACATGAAAAAATGAACAAAATACCTCCGAAACTTTTTAGGGGTATTTCTGGTCATTTTGATTTTTAGAAAAAAAAGAAAAATGGAACACTATAGGCAAAAATGAAAAATGATTTCGCCTACCCTCATCACCTTCCAAAGTTCATCGCACGATCACAATTATCCAGTAGAGTTTTATTTTTCATTGTTTTTTTTACACATCAGAATGATCTGAAATTTGGAGCGTGTATTCATTTTAGTGAGGTGCACATAATAAAATATATAAAAAAATAATTCGAGAAAAAACATTTGATCAAAATACCCCTAAAACTTTTTAGGGGTATTTTGGTTATTTTTTCATATAAAATATTTTTTT